CTATGGCTTGAACAAACCAAATCCTGGTTTTTCCCCAAAACCTGTAACCCAGTGTGGCAGGTTGTCCATTTTTACACCGTAACATGTCCAGAAAAGGCAAAATGTGATATATTTTTTTTAAAAACAGTAAAAGTTGCATGATCAATATGTACACATACAAATAATAAACTAATTACTTAAAAAATGATCTACTTGTTACTCTGATGTTGGATATGTGTGACGGCACCATGTAAGTTTATATAATAACTGTTTCAGTGAATTATGCAGTTGAAGTGTTTGAGTGAAAAAAGAATGTCCTTATGCTTGGTTTATGGTTGCTTTTAGAGCCCATCAAAGAGAAGGATGGAGGAAGGAAAGCTGGGCTAAAATACATTAATGCGCCTCTGCTAAGAGGAGATGTAGATGAATCCTGCCATATCCTGCCTCTTAAGGACGACATGACACCGGCATTGTAACCCTTGATAAGAGCTCTAGTGGGTGCTCTCCTTTATTAGTGCACCTCTCTATGCTATATATTCACCACACTTCTCGTCCTATCTCGGTGCTTCCTCCGTCTTTGCTGCCCAATGTCCTTTTTCTGAGAAAACCAGCTTTCTTCCTGCTTTCTCTTTTAACCCTCCTCATGCCAAAAGCAAGGAGAGAAAAGTGGGTCACGGGCAGATGGAGCACACAGTAGTAGGAACACGCTGGCTTGGGTTTTTATTTTTTTTTATGTGTGTTTGTGTGTTTTTGAGAGTGCAGCGTTTTCGCTTTAGGTAAAGTAGAGCCAGAATGAAAACAAAGAAGAAGAGACGTGAGTAGAGGGCAGAATGAGAGCGAGACAAAGTATTGATTTATGAATTTGAAGCACGGAGAAAGTATTGCTTTAAATCACTGGTCTGACGTATAAAATGATGTCTGTGCATTTTCAGCGCGAGTGCTTTTGAAACAACTACAATTGCAAAGCAGTTTACATCAATAATGCTCCAACAACGCAGTCACATTATGAGGCTAGTGAGTGCTTAAATCGCAGACTGATTTGAAAATTCACGACCATGAATGGAGTTATTCACGCTTAAAATGAAATGTCTCCTTTGTGTTGTAATGTGCAATGAAAGATCTGCTCACTGTATAGGCACAGTCGGTGAAAAACAGGCTCAAACCTGCTGGAAGGCCTCATTCATGTGTTATTTTCTCAAGCAAAAACCGATGCAGTGCTGGACTCTGGTGGCCAATTCAAGCAACTGAAACACAGACTTTTGAAAAGGTGAGCAATGAGACAGAACACTGTGTGACAAGAAGAGAGAAAAAAAGAAATAGGGACATTTAATTTAGACTAAAGGATCAGGGTTTTCATGCTGCACACTGCTGTTGGCACGTGTTGCAGGAAGTTCATCTTGCACAGAATGAAACTGTTGGTTTGAATTCTCAGAAAGAGAAAGAACAAATTAGTTTCTTCATGGTCAGCTGTTTAACAGATAGGCTGAACAGTGCAGCAGTTCTTCTTTCGCACAACACTGCAAAAAAAAGCAGAAGTTGCTGGAAAGACTTCAGCTTGCGTTCAGTCCTTCTTTCCTTATCACAGCAACAGGATGTCATCAAACATAAAAATGTCCTGATCTGCACAAAACAACTGATTTCAAAGTGCTGTGTAACTGTTTGTGTTGAGAAAGACGTTTCCTAAATCTAATGTCCAGCGCATTGTTTTTGAACCTGATTTTTTCTACATAGAGGTTCAAGCCCTTTTTACCTTAAAGTCTTGTGGTCACAGCAGCCAGCCCAATATGTCTCATCCAGTTTCTGCTTTTGGTCTGTGTAAGGACAGATGCAACAAGCAGCTGAGGCTGTGTCTCCTCGTGTTCGCAGAAACTTTTTTTGTTAGTTTTTTTTTTTTCTTAGAAACTAAATGAAAAGCAGAAAGGCAGTTTGGGCATAATAATTACAGCAACTGCAACAGTAGACACATCTACTGGTGCCATGGAAACCTCAGAGGCAATACTTACAATACATTTCACATCATATTAGTTTGTTTTGTCACATTTTTACTCGCTGTTGATTCTTTTTTTTTTTTTTAATTTAAGACCCTGCTCCTCTCTGGAAAAAGCACAATTTAAATCCTAAAAAAGAAAAATCTAAATTTTCCTCCATTATCCATCATCTATACACCGCTTAATCCTCACTAGGGTCGCAGGGGGGCTGGAGTCTATCCCAGCTGACTTAGAGTGAAGGCAGGGGACACCCTAGACAGGTCACAAGTCTATCACAGGACTACAGTTAGAGACAGACAACCAAGCACACTCACATTCACACCTACGGACAATTTAGAATCACCAATTAACCTCAACATGTTTTTGGACTGGGCTGT